GGTAAGGAGAAGTACTCCCTTACTTACCCTCCCTTCCTTACGTTCCTCCTCTCGTCTACCGTACCTACCTACCTACCACGTACTCTCCTACCTACCTCCTCTCTCTCTCTCTCTCTCTCTCTCTCTCTCTCTCTGCTTGTGTGTGTATGATATATCGGTGAGGATTCGGCACATCGAGAGTGAGACTTTTTCTCTTATAACAGAGAAAAGATCCATATTTCCAAAAGAAAATTGTGGAAGACAAATGTTTTTAATTTGTTTATTTGTCTTTGTTTGAATGATTTGCAGGTTTTGATTGATTCCCACTATTTGTGATCAGGGCATAGAAAGAGAAATGGTAAAACCTATCTTCTCAATTTCCTATACATTTGATTTATTTATTTATTTGGTGTTCTTAGATGATGATTTGGACCAAAAATGCCTTTGTGCTCATCTCTCAGCAAATTTGGATGAACCTCCAGTGAAAGTTTTTATATGAATTCTCTTTGTTTGTCATGTATAGTTTGTAAATTTTTGTTAAGAGGTTTTCCTAATATTTAGAGAGTTATATTGGACTATGCATTGGCGATCAATAAATATGGGTTCCTTGTTATGTGAGTTTTGATCTCCGAATTTAAATTTCAAATGCTATTATTAAGTAGTTATAATTTTAATTGCAAGGCTGAATGAGCTTGAACATGTGTTTTTTTCTTTCTTTATATGTTTTTGAAAGAATGACAATATATATATTGCTATAAACTTAGGTATAAATGTTCCAACAAGGCTGTAGGAACTTGAAGACGAGGCTTTTTTGTACAACAATTTTCTGCTGTTCACGGGAAGCTTTTGTAGACTGTCTAATTTGTGTTTTGTAGAGAATCATTTTCTATTACCTTTTTCTCGTAGTGTTTAGTGGGCAATTATTCAGATTGACTATTGTTATCATTAGAAACTGGTTTTGTGATGCATTCCCTGTATATTGTTGAAACTGTGATTTATCCTCCATAAGCGTCTCATCGTTATTGTTAGTGTGGAGTTGGGGCTGTTTAGTTGGGTCTCCATTATGAAGAGGCAATGTACAATGTCATGTGATGCTTTAGCTTCCACAAACAAGACTCAAATAGGTTAAATCATATCACTACCTATTAAGAAAATCGTCATTTCTTCCATCAATTTTACTAAATCCATGATAGAAGAAAAATGGTGATATGTTTCCGTAGTTTCTGCCTTTTTGGCATTTATAGATTTGTTATTTGAGTTGCACCTATCATGGCCAAGGTTTCACAAAATGCTAGGCGACCCATAGGCGGCCGGCCTGGTGCCCAGCGCCCAGGCAGGCACCCAGAACCTTGGGCGCCCTGTTGTACAAGTTATATAGATATGTAGTATATATACATATATTTGTCTCAATTTTAGAATTTATTACATTTGAAAATGTTGTAACATATTTTTTTATATACAAAAATATGACATATCACATGTTGAGAATAAACTTGTTCAAAATTTCAAAATTCAAACCATACAAAATTTAAAAGTCTAATAGGATATGTATTAGTAATAGTTTCCAACTCTCCATATTTCATAATAAATGAAAAGGTTTAGGAAGGTTCTTCATACCACAAAAAATACTTTTGATACTTAGAAGCATGTATAGCTAAGAGATTGAGGGTTTATGGAAGTTTTCTTTTAACTTTGGGGGTTGAAAATAACCCTCATAACCTATTTAAACCTTTTTCAGGGGTCAAAATTACCCCATTTTCCTTTTTGGGTATTTAAAAGAAAAAAAAACCCACGTCCCTAGGTACTCACCTAGGCACCCACCTAGGCGCCCGCCTGACCCGCCTAGGCACCCACTTGGCCCGCTTGGACGCCCACCCATGTACATCCCGCCCATGTAGGACCGCCTAGGTCTGGGTGTGCAGTATTTTGGTTCAGGTCGCCTAGGTCCGGGCGGACCGTTTTTTAAAACATTGATCATGACAACATTTGGAGGAGCTACACTTGAAAAAAGGAATAGGGTTAGTTTCCATGCCTATGATATGAGTAGGGGAAGGGATGAAATCATGTCTGAGGTGTTGCCACAATTGACAATCAATATTCTTAACCCTGCAAGGCTACACTTTCCTACTGTTGTTGTAACATTTTTGGTGAGAGCCTCAAATATAGATTTCTTAGTATCTAGATTTGTTTGCACTTTGAATCACGTGATCTTTTTGTTCGTTACCAGGAGTTGAATAAGTCATGATCATCTGACAATGCTACTCTAGCCTTAAGAGGATGTTTGGTTGAAACCAAGTGGACTGGTCAAAACAAAATCTCCTTACACGAGTAGCTTTTAATGCTAACTAATAAATGAGTATCTTTTATTGATGATCTAGAGAATGTCTAAATAACTTTGGCTAGTTGTTGAGATATGAAATTTTTAAATCGAATGTCAATCATCTGGGTCTCAGCTAAATTTGTGAGCAATTCTCGATTTTGTACCCTGTTCCTTGTAGTTTTACTGTAGGAAGGCAGGAATAGATAATCATAGGCAGCAACCATGTTAGTTGGATTTGAGTTTCCTAGGCAGTGAATCATGGCGACTTGTGACTCGGGTAACGAGCTAACAAAGCCATTTGAGTTCTTTGAGTCAACCATTTCAATGAACTAGAAAATATTAAATCATTGAAAAAAATGACCAAGTAAATTGTAACTTGAAACGATTGTGGATGCACTTACCAATGATGGAATGCAACACAATAGACTTCTTTTGAGGGCTCCTTTAGTCATTGAGAAGTAACCTTGTTGTTTCCTTGATATCACTTTATTACTGTAATTATTTTTTCTGGGGAAAAAGATTAACTTTGTATTAACAATTCAGTAGTGTAAGAGTTTACGTGTCTGTATGTCAAAATCTGTTCTAAATGAGGAACTATAAAGAACATATTAACAAAAGGTTAACTGTTCCAAAAAACAGAAACTATAAAAAGCATATAAAGAAAATGCTTTTGTAGTAATATCCACAGGCAGGCAGTTCAGATCTGGGGTCTGGAGATAACTAAAGCACTTCTCAGAGCCCGTCCTTTGCAAGACCATCTGCTACAGTCCCACCATGTTTGCCTCACACCACACTGTGTAAAATACCTGTAAAGTGCCCATTTCAAATATTTGATTGACCAAATGCTCCAACGGCCAGCAACGGGGAGCCCCATTGGTACCATCTTTAATCCCCTTCAACCTCTAAGCTATTCTCCCAACTTCGATGAAATAATTTCAAGCCCTACAACAGTCCAAAGCCTCTGCTTTAGTGGAGCTGGCATTGCCCACAGGATCTGGACATTACTACAAGTATTACAGTAAAAGAAATCAAGAAAAAAGTGACTAGTATTCGTTAAAGGGTAACAAGTTATGATAATAATTAAGAAATAACTGTAGGCAGTTTTGTATTCACAACTGACATAATTTCTAGAGAATTATATCCTTAGGTGAGGCACCAACATTTTGTCTAGTTGTAATTAAGACACCAGTTGTAGGGAAAGAAGTTTTGATACCACCTTTTTGGATTCAATAGTTACATGTTTATAGAAGAAAAGAAACCTAAAACCTAACTTATTTTCCTAATAAACCCTAATAAAATCCTAACACTTCATCTTTAAAAATTAACTTCTAATTCTACCCCTCAATTCTCTACAACTAAAAAAGCACAAATACCCCTAAGAAAACTAGAAACCCAAATAACCCAAAACCTTAATTTTTATCTCCTAAAAATATAATAAAATAAAATAAAATAAACTTATTGCACCATGCTCCTGGGGTTGGGAGAAGCTCGGCTTCGAGCTTGTTGTGTTCATTGCATCCTTCAAAGGCTACTTCAATAGCTGGTGATCGAGCCCCATCATTCGCCTACGTGCTTTTTTTTTTTTCAATGAAACAATTAATCAAACACTTTATGGGCAACATGCAGTAGAACCCTTGGATCTCAAACATTATTTTAATTTCTCTTTCAAATTCTTGATGAAACTCTAGCAGACCAACCTTGATACCAAGATCGTGTGGGCATTCTTCAAGTTGTGGTTATTGCCTGCAAATTTGCTTGTTATATTCGGGATCCACACGTTGAGTTGGTAGTGAGACTATTGCCATCAGAACCATGTGGTGCGTGCACCCTCTTCTCCATGAAAGGCGTTTTCCAACAATTGGATGGTGTTTTCTGATCTTGCAACTACTGATTCACTTCGCCAATCTCTCCTCGAAATTCGCAAATGTCACTTTGAATATCTTTCATGGATTTTTTTATACATTATATAATTTGTACAATAAATCATCGATTGCAGGAGCACGTTTTGGTGGCATTGTGATGGATGGTTCTTGTAGGCTCTGATACCACTTGATGCAAGGAAAGAAGCTCTGATACTACTTTATCTGATATAATAGTTACATATTTATAGAAGAAAAAAACTTAAAGCCTTACTTGCTCCCTAAGAAACCTTAATTAAATCCTAACCTTTCATCTTTAAAGAAAATGAACTTTCAATTCTATCCCTGAATTCTCGACAACTAAAAGACACAAATACCCTTAAAGAAAACGAGAAACTTAAAATAACCCAAAATCCTAATTTCTCTCTCCTAAAAATAATTAAAAAAAAGAAGAAGTAATTGCATCATCCCATCTCCATTATCAATATAGGTATTTAATCACTGGTATCTCTTTGGCGATCACCTGACGTAGGTGCTTCCAAACTCAATTTCAATGGTTGCTCCCTCAGCAATCCGGGCCCTTCAGGCATTGGGGCAATTTTCAGAGCTTACAATGATTCCACCCTTTATTCAGTATCTTGGCCTATGCTATTGCCGACTTCTCTATGGCTAAGGCTTTGGCATTGCCAGAAGGACTTCGCCATTTCAACCCCTCGGAGTGCAATCATTTGATAGTTGAAGGAGACTCTTGGAATGTCATTACTTGGGCCTCTGGTAATATCTCCTACCCTTGGAGATTTCAACGCATTTTCTATGAGATTTCCCATCTCTGTGCGGATCTTCAAGTCTCTTGGAATCACATTTTTAGGGAGGCAAATTCTGAGGCTGATGGCTTGGCCAAGGAAGGAGCTTTATGCACCTCTAACTTTGCATCCTTACATGCCCTTTAATTTTGTTTATTCCTCAAGCCAATGTGATGGCTTGAGGTTTTTCTTTTTCCTTTTCTGTGTAACATTTTTGGCCCGTGAGGGACTTTGTAAAGGACAACCACTCAAGTGGTTGTTTACTTGTGTTCTTCTTATACTTATCAATTTACAGTCAACTTCATCAAAAAAAGAAAAAAACATAACATGCACATATTCAATTTACACTATAAGCCCAAGCTACTCAACCAATTCAAGAGTTTCTGAAGTAACTCCATTTCATTATCTTGTGGTCATGTTCAGTGATAGGAGTCCACTTCTGGAAAGGATGCTAAAGGCCGAAATCTCTGGACTTTAGATTCTTTATGAATCTCTAATTCCTCTGTCCCCCTCTTGCTCCTATCCTACTTGTGGCAACTCTTCTAACTTTGAATTTTGTCTTGGGAATATTCTGACTACTAATGCTCATAAAGTTCAGCATTTAAGAAAAGAAAGACACACAATATGATGCTCCCCTGATATATCATAGTAGAACTACCGAGGTATGAATATCTTTGTTAGGGATTTAAACACTTTTGAGTTCCGACTGAACATGGGGAAACTCTGATGACCGATGAATGTCGTATGGTATAAACAAACTCTAGGAAGTTGAAAATAACGAAACGAATGTCAAAAAAGAAAAGTTTGCTGGAGATGATTCACCTAGTGCCTGAAAATTATGATGCACGCGACCACACACTAACGGTGAACTAACCCACTTGATAGTTTTGGATGTGAAACTCTCCTAACTTCAATTGTAATTGAGTTTTTTGTGGCTAGTTTCGTCATATGCCATGGGAAATAACTGTATCCCTCTTTGTATGTTATTTTTTGTGGATATCTAATGTGCTTCTTCTTTTTGGGATAAATTAAAGGTAAATAATTTCAGCATGTCCTTCTCTTTCACTTATGCCTGCCTAAAAAAGTAAAAAGGAAATCAGAAATAAAAAAGATAGATGCAAATCCATGTGTCCTATTCTGCTCATGTTATGGATTACAGTAATAACTTTAACCAAATATAAAAGAAATATGTTTATTGCGACCCATTCTTCCTTCTATAAGACCATATGTATTGGGTCATTTACGTTGACATTGTTTACATGGTTTGCATGAGTCAGTTGTCAATTCCAGAGTCAGATGAATTGACTCAGCTAAGCTCTCATCCAACTTGAATCAATACATGTGACTTGTTATGCATGCCACTCGGTTGACTTGGCGACTGAGTTAATATGATGAATCTTGATTGCTTCTAATTGTCTACCTCAGTAAGCACAAACTGATGGTGGCAAAACTCGTTTGAGGCCCAATTATTGCTTATGCCTTCCTGTATGTAATTTTTAGCCTATCTGGTGCTGATTCCACTGCTTGCCTCCTGTTTGGTTTTCTAGATTCACTTTGTGCTTCTTATAAGTCGACAAGGCAAGGTGAGGCTGACAAAATGGTATTCTCCTTACTCCCAGAAGGAACGAACCAAGGTAAGAGATCTTACTTTGTTTGTTTTCAGTACCTGGCTTATCCACATTGTATCCACTGTCTGATTCTCAGCCTTTGCTTTACATAGTTTGCCAGAATTTTTATTAGCAAATGCATGGATTGGTCCATAAGATAATGATTCTAGTATCATTTGGGTTCAAATTCTTAAAGTTTTCTTCCTTCCCACATAAACCTCAAACATGCCCCTATGCTTTTAGGGAGCACCACTCCAAATATGCTTGAAGAAAGTCAAAATTTGAATTGGCCTTCAAATTGTCCCAATTGTTTAATATAAAAGAAATAATCATAAGAAGTACCTTATAATTTACAGGATTGAAGAGCCTATGCCCATGGTTGAAATTCTGGAAATCGTTGCCAAGATGTTTTTGGTCATTTTGGAAGTTGTGGAGCAGATCTTTTACATCATTATATTTTGTCTATGCAAGGTGATTCGAGAGCTTAGCGGAGTGATTCTTATGCGTGGCCCCAAACTCTGTAATTTTGTTGAGTGGAGGGGATTCAAGGTCATATATAAGAGGTAAAATCTTTTAATCTTTTGTATATTTATAGGATTCAATCTGTATATTTCTTTAAACCCCGCATTCCATTGATTTTTCTGTATTGACAACCTGCGCATTACATTAACTAGTCTCTCTCTTGCAGATATGCTAGTCTTTACTTCTGCATGTGCATAGATGCTGATGACAATGAACTGGAGATTCTCGAAATAATTCACCATTTTGTTGAAATACTCGACCGTTACTTTGGAAGTGTAAGCATATTCCTATGTTTATTAAATTGCATTCCCCTTTGTTGAAGCATCATTATGACCATGATCATCATCATCATTATCGTCATTGTAACTATTATTTCACTGATTGAAAACGAGTATTATTTCTTCTCAGGTTTGTGAGTTGGACCTAATCTTCAATTTTCACAAGGTAAATTTGGGGAATTCTTTTCTCAGGAAATGCTT